CCGAAGGGAAGCTGGAGATTGCTAATAGTTATCCAGCTGCCGTTGTCTCTGATCATGAAGCACTTAAGGCCCCGCTCATCTTCACTGCCTCCTCGTAATGAGATCAGAGACGTACAGTGTGTGTGTGTGTGTGTGTGTGTGTGTGTGTGTGTGTGTGTGTGTGTGTGTGTGTGTGTGTGTGTGTGTGTGTGTGTGACTTTAAGTGGTGTGACAAGTAATAGACAGAGATTTTCCAGTCTACAGATTTTGTGCACTAGTCAGGAGATTCTACATTTATTGTGGCTTCATACTTTAAGCATTTATAATACACTATGATGCTTTAATACAAATACATTTATCTTCTTCTACTGTCTGTAGCTGACATGGTCTGGGTACTGAACCACAATACTTGACTGAAAAAGTATTGAATGTCAAATCGAATTCATAATCTTGTCTAGATATTCTTTGGTCAGATAGTTCCTCATTTAAATTTAGAAAATCGGCCTATTAAGTTCTTGCAGTGCTTCCTTGTTTAGACAACATTTGTATATGACTGCTTTTAGCTTATGTTAAATGAAATCAGGTATTTTGTAGGAAAACATGTTTATATTTCTCGATGTAATCTATCAAAAAAGTCACATTTCAGTATTGGTACTGAAACTTAAATAACAATTATTACAGTTATTGTAACAGTTGTTTTCAGGTCTGGGCTGCCAGTTAAGATGCATACCATGAGCTGCGATCGCAACAACCATTAGCATTTATTGTCTGAAACACGCCAGAGCCCAAAATGATGCTGTTTTTTCCAACCAACAATGTAAAATCAAAGATATACAATTTACAACGATGTGACAAATTAAAAAAACAGCAATTTGGAACGGGAGAATATTTGACTTTTTTTTTTTTTTTTTTGATAAATGACTTTAAGCAGGTTAGTATTGAACTTCCAAGATCAATATCTGTGCAGCAGAGTCTAAGATATCCTGCTTTTAGTTTAGTATGTGTCAAGCCCAAAAAAAAAACCCACCACACTTCCCATAATGCAACTTGGTAGTACCTTTCATTAAACCCTGCCTGTCTGGTAAACCCCCTTATATTTCACACTTCGTGCTGCGAGTTTGTTACTTAGTCTGTGTTAAACATTTGACATTGAAATGCTCTTAAATTGATTGAGTGTTTCTTCAGATTATTAATTAATTATGAAAAAGCTTTGATCAACTTTCAGTAGGTTAATTGTTTTAGCACTAGCAGCTTCATTAATGCAAATTTTTAAGCTGCTCTCCTGGCTTCTTGTTGGTGTTGTAATTCTCAGACATGGTTTCTAATTAAATAAGATTAAAAGATTTTAATGAGCACTTAATGTACCACGCCATCTCTCTCCAGCGAGTACTACTTCAGCCTCCACAACCTGGAGCGAGACTTCTTCCTGAGGAGAAAGATGGACGCGCAGGGCTTCCTCCCCATCTCCCTCATCGCCAGCTTCCACAGAGTCCAGGCCCTCACCACCGACATCACCCTCATCATGGAGGTAATATCGCATCATCCGTCGGTTCAATGGTGCGGCTGCACCCTGTAATCCTACGCTGCAGTGTTGCCTCTGGTGATCACTTTAATTTGGTTACACAGTTTTCACTGTTTGGCTCCAGGTTATGTTTCAGGTCTCTTGGGTACACACAGCTCAGAATAACTGGCACCATCAGTTGTGTATTCACTTTAACCTTTTCATCCCATAGTGAGAAAGATGAGGTCAAGACTGAGACGCTCGCTGTGACGGATCCTTGAGAAAAATTGTTGTTGTTTTTTTTAGTGAATTTAACAATCGAAATAATTTTAAATAAACGCTAAGGAAAATAAATTCATTAGATTTTTAAGATACAGTATGCTATGCTATCGCTGCTATGCACACAGTTCATGGCTATGGGAAAATGTATTTGTCCTTGTGTTAATAAATCCTTGTGTCCAGGCTCTGAAGAGCAGCACGGAGGTGGAGCTGGTGGACGACAGGGTTCGCTGTAAAACCGACCCGGAGCGTTGGCCCATCCCTGTCCCTCAAGTCGTGGGTTCCCCTCGAACCGACTTCTCCCAGCTCATCAACTGCCCTGAGTTCGTTCCTCGACAGACCCTCAACCCCACAAACTCTGGTCAGTGTTCACCAGTATTTTAGGAAATAACTGAGCCTTTCTTTTAAAAAAAATAAATAAAAAATAGCAGCTATATATTCATGACCCATTTTTAATGATTTATGTCCTGAGCAGGAACCAGTTGGTTTGGAGCAGGGAAGTCAGTAAAGTGAAACGGATTCATAGTCTATCATTTCTTTTGATCTTATCACGGGACTTGTGGACAATAAAAAATGATATAATATAGAGTATCACCTGCCTTATCCCTTACGTACTTCAGTGTTGTTAGTTAATAATTGCACATTTGTGGACACAAGTGATAAATCCAGGAGTATGACTCAGTGCTTGAAGGATATGTTTATGTCACTTTTGAAACGTGGATATATTAATTGATAATAGAAGCAATCAGAGGTTGTAGCCCTGGTATGAATTAGTAATAAATGTTTACAATTATCTTTGTTATTGATTAATTTGCAGAGTATTTTCTCAACTGATTGGTTGTTTAATCTATATAATCTTGCAAAATAGTAAATAAATAAAAAAGCGGTCCATAAGTCTCCAAAACGTAATTAAGCGTCTTATTTTGTCCGACCAACAGCCTTAAACCCAAAGAGACTCAGTTTGTTTTCTTAGAAAACAAAGAATAGCAGCAAATATTCATTTTTAAAAAGTGTAACCAATGATTTTTTTTGTTGTAATTTTAGCACTTGATCAATGCATTATCAAAATTGTTTTAATATGAATTGTTCCCATCAATATTTTGCCAAACAACTTGTCATTTCAGCTCAAACATTTTACCTCTGGTTCCTGCTGGGCCTCATAAAAACAAACATTTCAGTATATGTAGTAGATATGAGCTGCATGAACTAGTAATTGACCTAAACTTCCCCCCTCTCTCTCTCTCTCTAATCACATTTATTGTTGATCAAATAGAGCGATGCAGAGTCTAAAGCAGTGTTGAGGCTCCAGACTTTAGCACCTTGTTTCCTAAATGAGAGCTGACAGCGTGATGTGTGATTTTATAGCCGTGCTGAAGGTTGTGTTGAGTGTCTGTGTGATGTGTGTCGGGTCTTTTAGCTTCACCGCCTGTAAAGGAGACTCCCCCCGAGTCTGCTGGACCTCAGGACTCGGCTGAGCCCGGCTCCACCAGCCAGGAGTCCGCCACACACGCCGTTAAAGATGCCCCGAAACCGGACCCTGACGCCTGGATCCAGGTGGAGAAACGCCACAAACAGCCCTCTGGAAAGGCAAAGGTACGAAAGGAGAAGGAGGGAAAGAGACACCGGGGACTATTTTGGCATCTTTAGGCCTGTTCCCAAAATGTCGGTGTCTGAAATTAACCATTAAACACAGGAGCTAGTAGGCTAATTATTATTTAATAAAGAAATGCCATGACATCTTATTCTTATTCTTTTCATGTATTTGGATCTCCACTAGCTCCCACCTGGGATCCACACAAAAACAATGACAATAAAAACAAATATAACAATAAGTGAAATGACTGTTCATAGGAAAAGATGGACAGTAGGAACCTGTGTGATATGGGGACTTAGTGTACGGTGGCCCTTCAGGGACAAAAAGTTTTGAGAACAGGAAAGGACCAAAGAGTATCTAGGGAATTTCGGTATTGTGTCTGGAAGTGAGTGGGCAGTGTAGCGGGAAGTTTTCATTCCAGGATGAACAGTCAGCAGTCAACCAGCCCAGAGCCAAAGACTGTTTGCAACTTAAAAATCTTTATTTTAATAAAAAAGAAAACAAAAAAAACTGTCCGAGCATCATATTTCTATCTTTCATCTCCTCCCATCATCACTCCTCTGTTTCTCATTACCTGTCTCCTCCCCTCCACCTGTATCTCTCTGTTGTTGTGTCCTCCATCTTTTGACCGGCAGCATGTCAGTGATGATGTGTGTGTTGTCGGCTCTTCTCCTCCCTCACCGCTCCCACCTGACCACCTCCCCTCTGCAGTTGAGTACTTCCTCCTCTCACCTCACCTTTTCCTCTCCCACTTTCTTCCCCGTGCTTCTCATTTATTGCACGTCTCATATTAGCTGCCATATTTTCTTTTCTTCTCTCACAGGATTTTCATATTTGTCATATTCATTTTCAACCTTGTAACTTCACCTGTTTCAATCATCTGTCTGTTTCCCCTGATGCTCCTTATTATCCCTCAGGTGTAGGGTGAAGTTTAACACTTTGAGTTATATTAAGAGACTAGCACTATCCAAAGTATGACTCTGACCCTTAACTTATATAATATTGTTAGTAGCTGTGAAGAAGATATCACATTACGTCAATGTAAGCGACACAGGCAGCTTTATTTTTGGAACAGTTTTCCATTGTGTGGTGTTTATCCGTGCGGTGTCACGTCAAAAAGCTTTTCCTGTAGAACAGGGCAAGTAATTATTGATAGTTTGATTGTAACTTTTCTGTCTTATAATATGAAATTGTACCAGTGGCCTCCTATCAGGGGAGGATCTCATCTATGAATAAAATAAAGTTTCATTAGTTCAGCGTCAGCGGTAGTTTTCGTAATCTTGATCATTCATATTCTTGCTCCTTCAGGTAACTAAACATAGAAATTGAGAAGTATTACAGTCTGTAAATCATCCAACAAACATGTGTTCAGTTAGTCGCTGAGAAAAGCTTTATTTTTCTGGCACTTTTCAAAATAAAAGTCACTAACCGCTTCTAATTGCTACTATTTGTAGCATGCACATTCCTCTCCAGTTATTTTGGCTTTATTTTAAATAACTTTTGAATATTTTCAGGTGGTAATTTCTAACTAACAACATATATAATTTTGAGTGTTTAATTTAGTGAACAGTGGTTTGATCGGTTCTTGATTAGTAGTTTTGTTTAGAGGTTGTTACAAGCTTGAGGCAGTGTGAAGAAAATAGCAGCGAGCAGTTTCAAGTAATGATATGTCAAGAGTCTTCACATTTGTTTTAGCAGCATTTAGCATCTATTGAATATTCAGCTGTTCAAAAACATCCTCTCATTTCTATCATCCCCTCCTGAAGTTAAATGTACGTCTTCTCTGGTCCTTTCCTCATGGCTGTGTGTTCACTGTGTCGTCCAGGGGGACAGCAAGACACCCCCTCCCAGTCACCAGGCTCCTCCACAGGCCGAGCCCGATCAGGAGGAGCTGGACTTCCTATTCGACGAGGAAATGGAGCAGTTGGCGCCAAGGAAAAACAAGTTCACCGACTGGTCAGACGAGGACGACTCGGACTACGAGCTGGACGACCAAGACGTCAACAAGATCCTCATCGTCACCCAGACCCCTCCTTACCTCCGCAAACACCCCAGCGGCGACCGAACAGGCAACCACGAGTCCCGAGCCAAGATCACCGCCGACCTGGCCAAAGCCATCAATGACGGGCTGTACTACTACGAGCAGGACCTGTGGAAGGGAGAGGAGCAGATCGAGTGCAGCAAGGTAAGAAAAACATGGAGTACAGTGTCTCGAGAATGGAAATTAGAAAAAGAAAATTAACAGTTTGATTTTTACTGACCAATGATGCTTTAGAAAGCTTCCAAAGTTTGGGCTTTAGCTTTTAGTTATGGCTTTTTTTTATGTATTTTCATCCCTACTGGCAATTTCTTCCAACTTATATATCCCAAGTATATCCCTCCTTGGATTGACAGTTAAATAAAAATACTTAATTTTAGGGAACCGTCACAGAGAGGTGAAGAAGAGCACTGACAGTAGCAAAAAGACCACCAGTACTAAAATTTACATACAAAACTCGTGTTTCAAGTCATGTCTGAACAAGCAGGGTTATACATGACGCAAGCACTCACAGAACGGGCAGCAGCTGGTATGTCACAAGATCCTCACAACATTTTCTTCTTTTATTGCAATTTCCACGAAAAGATTGTTGGTAATTTCTATTTCGATACACAAATACAACACGCACAGATGTGGAGTTGTTGGAAACACATGATTAGTGTTTCTTCTTTCCTCCATATAGGAAAGAAGATAAGATAACTTATTTATCTTGGTTAGACTGCAAAATAAGAAATTTATATTCCTTTTGCTTTAAGTTTGTCCTTCCAAAAGGGAAATTTGTCTTTCAGCCAGACGAACTACATGGAGAAAACATAATATATGTCGATATAACATAGGCTGACGAAACAAGATCAGTTTAGTATTTCTGAAACTTTTGATCGGTTAAATACCAGAGTTTGGATTAGAAGCTCAAAGTAAACACCAAAACCCAGAGCTAATGTTGGCATCCAGCTGACCTACAGTCAGTAAACCAGATTGTTCAGGTTGTTTGGCTTTTGCAACATTTGATTCACTTCCTGTTATTGAATCCGCAGCTACTGAATTTTTCAGCTTTATGCAGCTACAGTCACGGTGCCAGTGCGTCACTGTTCACAGTTCAAGACAAAAACACAGTGATTTAACAGCCGAGCTGCTGGACACAATATACACAGCACACTGAGACCCACAGTCTGATGCTTTACTTTTATTTCCCATAAGAAATGTTCTTCATTCTTATTTTACAGTTTGAGACGAAAACATCCCCTGAAAACATGAAGCAACTTTTACAGACATGGGAACACTGACATTTTCCTTTTACTGTTCGCCAGAATTTAAAAAAGGATTTTCTGTAAATTTTATTTGTGGCAGCAGGGGAAATATTTTCTTGAGATAATCTGTAGCTGTTTAATATAAATGTTTATTTTATTAGTGACCTCCTCAGAGACCTATTCAAAGTCTCCTCCTGGACCTCAGTGGACTTGACAAAGATAGAGCAGAATAAACGCACTGATTTCATGAAGCTTGAGTTATATTGGACAGTTCTTTGCTTAGATATAAAAACACTATGTTTTCCACAGATAGGCAGCCATGCTTTTGACCCAAAATGGCCTTTTGTGTGTGTTATGATAACTTGATTTCCAAAAAGTAGACATTTAACACATTGTGTCCTAACTCATTATTTTCTAAGCTAATTTTATAAAATAGTCAGCCATTAAAAAAATATATCGAGGTTCAAAAAAGTTGCACTCTGCTGGTTTTATCTGCAGTTTTTAGGATTCAGAGGCTCTGCGCTGCTGACACTTTGACATAAAGACTTCACGACAGAGCTGTTAAACTTCACACCGTGTATAGTGGGACCAAAATAAACCACTACTTGTACGAGCCTCCAGACTACATGTGTGTCACACAGCTGCTTCCAGAGCTGGCTGACCTGCTTTTTGGAAAAGCTGCGACGTCTGCAGAAGCACTCTCTATAGGTTACACGGCGTTATATGATCTCATTTTATTACAGGTACATGATTATGTAGTAGTATTTTATGCTTCAGGATCAGTGTAGTAGTATGCAGTGTTGTTTAGTGATTCTCAATGACCCATGTGCAGCCACAGACACTTATCCTCCATTATAGCTTTAAAATTCATACTATAAAATAAATTGGCAAATTGAAACACAAAACTTGTATCTCTTTCATCAGCAGTTGAACACATCCCTGTAGCTTTCAAGAAGTGAAAATGGATCAAAACATCCTTTTATTCCTTGAATGTAACTGAAAGTTCAACATTAGTTCAGAAAGTGTGAAGTGGAAGTTGAAAAGAAGGACTTCAAAAAGTTGACCAAAAGTTCACAGTAAAATACATAAATACCATACATGATATTTTATTGTATGTTTTGCATGCTATACTGTATCATCCTCTGAAAAGTCAATTTAACTACGGTTGTGAGAAAAATGTGATTTAGTATAAAAAGAAATGAAATGGAAAGGTCAAATGAAATTGAGTCAATATGTGAAGTCTCAACGGTAAATATCATTCATGCTAATATCATGCTAATGATATTTACACAGTGTAAAAGCTGAAATTGTTCATCCAATCGTGACACTGTTTGAATCCTGAAAAATGCCAACAACTTTCCCTTTTTTTGGTTGTTGACGTTGAGCTTTCAGCACCGTCAGCTCACTCTGGGCTCAAAGGTTGTCAGCAATGTCTCCACATGTGGGAAATGTCACGCCTGAACACACACACTCCAAGGTTAACTGGGCTTTTCTCTCTCTCCCTCTCTCTCCTCCCTCTTACGCTGCTGTGTAAAGTTCAAAGTACGCTGCACAGCTGCTGTGTGTCACACAGGCCTGCAGGGCTGCAGCCGCTGGCGTATCGCGTATTTTTTACCACCATGTTGCACCGTTATCAGTTTATACAGCCTGTAACGTGGCCAGAGAGGTCACATTATTATGTTTTCATATCTGAGTGTGGTGCAGGAATACTTTGATGTGTAATGTTGATTGTTTCATCCTACAGTTTAATTTTTGGACAAAGTTGCATGTGATAATGCAGTAACCGTGTTGACCCTTAGAGACCTGTAAAACTTCTTATCGGTTTGTTTCGAATGACATCATTTTTTAATATTTGTACAACTTTTTTTTTTTTTTCACTTTAAGATAATAAAGATTGTTGTCAGGATTATGTTGTCACAAAACACCTAAAATTAAAACTAGGGATGCAACTGACGATTATTTTCATTACTTATTAATTTTTTTGTCCATAAAATGTAAGAAAATAGTGACAAAATTTAAGTTTTTAAATCTTTAAAAGTCATATATTTGGCTTCTCTTTAATTAAAAATGACTGAAATTATCATTTGATTATTTAAATAGCTGCAGATTAGTTTTTCTTGATTTATTAGATAGATTAATTGACTAATTGCTGCAGTTCAAATCAAAAATATGTATAGGTGAAAACTATAATTTAGGTAGTAGTAGAAGTAAAAGGACAATTAAATGATAAGAGTGAAAAAAAATTAAACTGATGTAAAAATGTAATAAATGTGATAAATTCTTACAAGTTCAAAGCCCAGTGAAATGTGCTTAATTCTCAGCTCATTATAGAAATAAAAATGTAAAACGTGCCAATTTTCTTGTAATTATAATTCAATAATAATATCTTTATTTGATGCCTCAGGTTCGACTTTTGCCTTCTACACTGTAATGTTTCAGGAACATAACTTAACTCACTTGTTTATAAGAAGCTGATCCTCTGCTTTTCTTTTGACTGTTCCTCAGCAGGAAGTGGAGAACTTCAAGAAGCTGAACGTCATCAGTAAAGATGAGTTTGAGACACTCGCCCCCAAAGTGCCCGTTGAGGCGAACCAGGAAGTCCCACCTCCTCCGATGCCAGGTGTGTTGACAGAGCTGCTAGTTTCACACAAGCTGAGCATCCTGTCTGCTGCTTTCTGCAGTTTGAAACACGCCCTCTTTATATTTCTTAAACCTCTGCTTCTGCTGCGGCAGTTTCTGATGGGATTTTGTTTATTTTTGCATAACTAGGGAGCTATTGGTGTATATATAAATAAATAAATAAACTCAGTAATTTTGGCGTCAATCTGGAGCTCAGCATCACATGAATGTTATGTAATCACAACTGTAGGAAAGTAATCGGACGATAATCAATTAGTGTGAATATACATTTTTTGTAAACAATGTGTTCTCAGTGGACGGTGGAGCAGAACTGGCCCGCTCTCTGCCTACGACGGTCCCAGAGTCGCCCAGCTCTCACCAACCCCGAACCCCCAGAACGCCTCGCACCCCCGGACGCCAGGACCCCAACAAGACGCCCCGCTTCTACCCCGTCATGAAGGAGAGCGGCACCATCGATGGGCAGGTGAGGTCTATTTCTCTGTATGGACAGAGATTAATAACAGAGAGAGGATGAGGCTGCTGTCGTTGTACTGAGCACTTCACACGTTTATAAAGGCGATTATTGATTTTCTTATTGTCTATAAACATTATCTATCAGTCATTTTACATCAAACGCCGTTAAACACGGAACTTTCTTGTTAATGGTAAAATAAATATATTCTTACAAATTAACCAAAACAATAAAAACCTGTAGTTTTTGTTCTTCTTAAGATGCTCTGAGCTTCCTATAAGTGAGAAGGAAGCACTCGTTAATGTATGATGACTTCTAGGAGCGTCTTTTTAAAATAAATAATAAACACAAGATGATTAAAAGCCAGAAAATAAGATGATTCTGATACACATAATTATATTTGTCTTTTCAGATGTTCCTCAGATGGTTGCCGTTTTAGTTTTGGATAACTGTATAATTTAACACCTTCAGGCCTCTGACAATAACATGGTTTTTGGTTGAACTGTTAAAGCAGACGTTGCTTCGTTTGAACAGGACACAATCCCAAAACAGCTGTTGTGACTCAGCTCAGTGTTTCTCTCAGGGTTCAAGTGTCCCTTTTCGCTTTTCCCTCCCTTGTTTGTTGTATTCAAATTTTTTTCAGGTCAATGATGAGTATGATGTTGCTTTGGCTTTATGATTTCCATGGTGTTGTAATTTTATTTTTGAGACCATGGTTGATTCCTAACTGTGAAATTTGCTGCGTGATGCAACAGTCAGGGCAGACAATAGTTGCTCAGTTTGCTGATCTGCAGTTCATTCATACATTGATTCCTGTTCAAGGCCTGGTGACTTGTTTGTGCAGTTTCTGTCTTTGCATTTCTTCCTATTCTTAATGTAACCTGAGCTTCTTTTTTGTTGTTGTTGTTGTGCATAGTACGAGAACTGTTTTGCATGTACTGTACATGAACCTGATCCACAGGTAGACGGTGCCTGCCTATTGTCTCTTTTGCATTTTTACAAGGTTACTTTTACCAAAAAGGGTCATGTAACATTTGCAAATACTTCTGTTTGTTTTCACCTGCCGAGAATCAAATGTAGTTTCAAGGCCTCATTTTATATTCCACCACTGAAGCTCAGTTTAGAGCAGGATTTCCTTCAAAATACCGTCTCGATTTGTAATATTTGTGATAATGTAGAGTTATACACATGCTGAGCCCAACTTCTCTCATCTCTCTCTAAAACAAAACAAACCGTACAGACTCAACCAAAGTTTAATCAGTTATCAGGGATCCCCGTGTCCTGTCCTGGTGAGCAGCTTTTTGTAACATATGAATATCATGAATCTTTTGTTGTGATTTTCCGTTCCAGACTCCGAGGAAGAAGAAGACCCGTCACAGCTCCAACCCCCCTCAGGAGGCCCACATCGGCTGGGTGATGGACTCCCGTGAGCACCGACCGCGCTCTGCATCCATCAGGTCCGACTGCTCGTTTCACTCCTTCGTCACTGTTGTTTCAGCTGTGTATATACCTGTACATTCAGGTGACACATACAAAAGAAGTCGTCAATCTGGTCACTTCCTCCATTCACAGTTGACCTTTAATCACTTCACTGTATCATTACACATAAAACAAGATGCTGAAGTGCTTTTCATAGCCTCAAACGGTGACTTGATCCCCTGATCAGGTTACTTTGGAGTCATTTAATATGGAAGTATTCTTCTCTGGCCTATGACCCATCCCTCCAATAAGTTCTGTGTAAATCGGTGCAGTACTTTTTGCATAATCATGCAGACAAATTAACAGACACTCCTGAAAACGCCGTCTCCTTGGCGGATGTATTAAAAACATGGATTTAAAGTTAAAGCACCATTTTGCTCAATTTTTAAACAGCTCCACTTTGTGAAAGTGGTTTCTTAGCATTGTAGTAGAACTATGGCTAATTATTATTTTCTTTATCGCTTATTTTGTCGGTTATTTTTCTGATTAATCAGTTACACATTTAGTGAGAATTTGTGTTAAGAGAGGAAAATGCAAGTTCACAAGTTCATGATAATTTCATCATATTTAATAGATTCAGTTAATTAAAGTGTGTCTTGATTGGAGCGGCATGTCCCTAGTATCAGTGCACAGTGATAAACACTGCTGTAAATGTACCAGAGTTAGCCACAAGGCTGTTGTACATCTGGAGTCCCTGGACAGATGTTAGCTTAAACAATATAATGTTAAAGATGTGTGAATTTTATTCCCCCGGCACTCAAACGATTCTTCGTCCTCTTCCTCCGTCCTCCTGCAGCAGCTCCAACGCCTCTCCATCAGAAGGAGCCCCGCTGTCAGGAAGCTACGGCTGCACCCCCCAGTCTCTGCCCAAGTTCTGGCATCCATCCCACGAGCTGCTGAAGGACAATGGCTTCACCCAGCAGGGGTACCACAAGTACCGCCGACGGTGCCTTAACGGTACGGAACCGAAAAGCTGACATGAACTCTCATGCACACCCACCTGCTCCATAACACCATCACCACTCAACATGGTTTGAGTCTGAAACCGAATTAGTCCAAATCGGAAATGTATTAGTTTCATGTAGATTACTCAGGATCGTGATTAACCTGTCAAGCCCCTGTGTATTGAAGACGTGAATCGATGTTTTTTCAGAGAGGAAACGGTTGGGGATCGGCCAGTCTCAGGAGATGAACACTCTGTTCAGGTTCTGGTCCTTTTTCCTGAGGGACAACTTCAACAGGAAGATGTACGAGGAGTTCAAACAGTATGCTGTGGAGGACGCCAAAGACAACTACAGGTGAGGCGGCCGAATGAGGCTGCTGATTAAACACTGAGCTCCATGCAAACATATTTCGGTACCTGAGACAGGAAATGCAAAGTATTGGTTTAGAAATTCAAACAAACCAAACTGTGGTGAAATGGAGGCCTGGAAACAAGTAAACAGTAAACATGAGTTGATCTCGTTTGTCTATTAAAGCCACACCCTCAGGCCCTGAAGCCTCTTTTAGCGTCTTCCTCCCTGTCTTACTTACTGGTGACAGTTGATCTTAATAAAGATATTTACTACGTCTGCAACCAACAGTTATTTTTCCATTAACTGTTAAGTTTATTGAAAAATTACCTCAAGTGTCAGAAGCTCATTGCCGTCAACCATAGACAAAAAACAGATATTTTCCTTGTAATTATGTCAGTTGAGTATATTATCTGTTATAGTAAAACGAAAGCTAATTCGTACTCACAAGATCTTTATCTGTAGATCTGTAGCTGCAGGAACTGATGTTTTAGCTTGTTGCACTAGTCAAGACAATTAAATGGTGGTTCACAGAGTTTTAGCTAAATGCTAATGGGTGTGTTTTTGTATTGTGAGTGTATTAACTCATCAGTGAGTTGTTCAAAGGAGCGATATCATCCTTTTTATCACATTTATTTTACATACAACAACTCATGAGATCAGTTGATATAATTATTGTATAACCTAAAATATTAAGTGATCAGTCCAAATGCAGCCTGTGACAGTTTCTTTTGATTGTATCTCCATGGAAACAAGTTTGGTTTACTTTCTGCAAACATTTGAAAAGCAAACATTGATGCATCTGTGTTTTTGAGTGGAGGATTGACAACAAGTAGGTCACGAGGAAGTGATTTTAAAATGGATGGTGTTAGTTCTGTTTTCTTACATGACAATGATTACGGTGCATTTGTTGATTAATATTTCTGTTGGTGAATGCAGTGCTCGCTCCGGAGCAGCAGAGTTTGACGGCCATTATTCGACAGCAGAGGGTTAACTGTTTGCACCACTCTTTGCCAGAAGCACCTTCACACACCTGCCAAACCCACATTCTTCTTATGTGTGTCTAAAGAAGTGGGCGGCTCAGCCCTGCATGTTGCAGTTGGGAGTGAGTGTAGTTTCAGGGTGTGTGAGCAGATGTTTAATCAACCCCATCAGCTGTTTATGCAGCAGCTCGCTTTGACTTCATTTAATCAAAAACAGGTCAACTCGTCGGTCTGGTTCCTCCGTCAGCGACATGATCATAATCCCTGAGACAAAGCTGCTTCTGTGCAAAATGTTGGGAGACGTTTGTCGGAAAGTGGCTGGTTCACTGAAGATCAGTTTACAGTGCAGCAATTACATCACACGACATCCTGTCCGTGTAAATATATATAAGTGTCCAGAAGCCAGATTTGAAGCCAGAGTGTCATTTGTGTACTTGTTAGTGAGGTCAGAGTGCAGGTAAATATTTGTGTTTCCCCTGCAGATATGGACTGGAATGTCTCTTCAGATACTACAGCTACGGTTTGGAGAAGAGATTCAGGTTAGAGCTGTTCAAGGACTTTCAAGAAGAGACCCTCAAGGACTTTGAGAAAGGTAATTAACATCATAAAGTAACCAAACTGTCCCAAACTTCACCGCCCACTTTCACTGGTTTACCAGGATTTTCAGAATAAAATCACATAGCACTTTATTTGTTATTTTTTCCCAATTCAACAAAACATTGTTGACAATACAAACAACAGCAACAACAGAAAAAGAAAAAATACAACTCCTCATGTTGAGATTAACAAATAGTTTATATATAGTAGTAATATAACAGATATATATATATATATATATATATATATATATATATGTAGTACAATTAAAATTACTGAAGACAGGTAATTAATAACTGCTTTATAAGATGAGTCATAGTAAACAAAGACATTAATTGAAATAATAATATAATAATAATATAATAATAATAATATATCTGTTTACAACTACATTACAGTCTGTTATAAAGTATCTTATAAATGCTAAATAGGGTTAGGGTTAAAATAAAAACAAGTGTTTAATGTCCTGTAAACCTGCTTCACCCGACTTTAAAGTGCACTTTGCAGAGTCTCACCCCTCTGAGCTGTGAATGTGTAGTTGTGTGAAAAGAGGAAAAACAGGATTAAAGTCGATTTCTCAACCCATTCCACCGCTGTGAGTGACTCAGTGGAGCAGAATGGAGCGCTGCCAGAAATGGCCTCAGCCACTTATTTCCAGCTGATTTATTTTGGTGTTCAGTAAAACGTTTCCCATTCGAACCCCCACAGACTGGAGATCTGTCAGAGAGGTTTTAGTGCAGACGTTAACAAGACTTACCACCACCACATACTGCACTAATGAGTCATAAGCTGCTATGCTAATGGACTTATTAATTTGAATAGTTCATGGATTCATTGTGAAATGCAATCATTCCTAAATTTTTGGTGTTCTTGTGTTGAATTTCCCTCTCTGAAATTTTCATAAACTAAAGAGAAACAACACAATGTTGATAATGTACATCTGTTATTTAAAAAGTGGTGTGATCTGAAACGCTCGCATTGAAACAGTGAATCAGTCCTGATCCGTCCTGTTTCCTCCTCCTCCAGGTCAGTTGTATGGACTGGAGAAGTTCTGGGCCTTCTTGAAGTATTCAAAGATGAAGAACCAGCCCATAGACCCGAAGCTGCAGGAACACCTCTCCCAATTCAAGAACCTGGAGGACTTCAGGGTGGTGGTGAGTGTCCAGTGAATTAGACAAGCTGATGGTTTTTAAAAGGCTGCCGTGTGTTAAGCATGTCTGAGTCTGTTGACTCAATGTCTCAGTTATCACTAATATGATTTTAGGTGGAAATTAAAGCCTCGTATCTCCAAACTCTCCCAACATGTAATGAACAAACGTACTTGTGTTTTCTTTCTGAGTTAATTCTACTTGTTTTTTGGACTCAAGAAAAATATTACTACTAAAACGAGGTCCAGACATGTGAACACCATCCTGTAACGGAGGGAGAATAAAATAAGAGATTGAGGCTCTAATTTACAGTATTAATCGCTCAGGTCAGTGAAAGATAAATCTTAAATCTTTTTTGTCAGTAATGACAGAATCATAGAGGAAAGGTTTTTGATAATTGACATAATTGTAACTGTATACGTTTACAGTAAAGTAAATATGTTTGGGCTCAAGTGAATGAGCTGCATTTCTCAACATATGAGATGTTGACAATAGATTATAATGAAAAGTGAAAGTGAAAGTTGAGATTCCTTTGTCTAATAACCAGGTTGAGCTGCTACTAAATTAGTTCATATGACACTGCTCATGTTATGCAACTTCCTGCTGGTTCTGAGGGGTTTTTTTGTTTGTTTGTTTCACCCTATCCTCTCACACTGTCAACTTAAATATTACATATCATTTAGTTTTATGAGTAATTTTAAACAAAATCAAAATATTATTACACTGTCTCATTTACTTACAGTAGGCCCACATGTTTGTGGATCACTGGATTTAATTACTGTATTAATGGTATTACTCCTTACAGATGCCCTGTGGAGTGTTCTTGTAAACAAACAAACAAACAAACTTTGTTTACATTCACTGTGTCTCAACAAAAGGCATTGTGTGCATCTTTGACAAGGAGCCGCCTTTAGTGCTGCTTATGGTCTAAAACTCCACCGGGAACCTTTATCGTGTCTGACTGTGATTGTAGTAGATTATTGATCCTGATTACTTACTGATGTGGAATTTAAACAAACAAAACGTTGTGCTGCATAGAGCCATGTGTGAGCGAGAGGTGTGGGATGTCCACATTAAACAAGTGTGTCCCAGAGAGCTGTGATAAACCTCCATGTTTCTTAATGTACACTTAGACACTGGCAGTTAATGGAAGTACGTCACACAAGTAGGTACCATGTGTGGGGACGCGGACAGACCCGCTGTTATTATTGTGTCCTTGTTTGATGATAATTCTGACCTTTGACCTCTGTATCCGCAGCCACCAATGGGAGAGGAGGGAGGCAGGAGAAGACGTCACTCATCCTCGGCTGGGGATGAAGGGAGGCGTCGACGACATCCTTCCAACACTACCTCAAAGCCCACACAGGCCTCCAAATCCTCCAGCGCCAGCGCTGCCGCCGCCGCCGCTCAACCTGCTGCCGCTGCCAACGCCGCTGCACAGAAACAACCCAAAGAAAACACCCAGAAACCAGCAGCAGGAGCAGCCGCACAGGCCAAGAAGATGGATACCGGAGCCGGGAAGAAGGAAAGTGTTGCACCAAATAAATGAAAGCTCCCTCACTGAGGTGTGGGTTTGGATAGAAGAGATGCAGAGCGAGGCGGCAGCAGCTCTGAGCTCAGCGTTCGCTCTTTTCAGCGGCAAACTGTTTGGGTATGAAGAGAGACTGAGCGTGGTTGACTTAATTTGATTGTTTTTATCAGTGCATTTCATTTAAAGCAAGCATAGGCAGTGAGCTTGAATCTGTGCGCCTGACAGCTCATAATGTTTACAAAAAAAAAAAAAAAATGCATTCCCTGCATTTTGCCTTTTGTTTCTCTCAGATGCCAAAACTCTTTTCAACAAGTTTGTTGATCTCCACAATATGTCAACCGCTCTGGTCTGTAAAGAGCTTTTGAACTGTGATTCTAGTTTGCCAAGATAAGACATACTGCAGATAGTCTTGTGTGCCTTAATCTGATTCACCAGGACGACTGGAGGGCGAGGAGTGACAAAATAGTCCAAATTCCGCTTTTTAAAGTCTTCCCAACTGATTCTTCGGGGTTTGAATGTGTTTAAAACTGACACCACTCGCAGTTTTTTTTTTTTTATTTTATTTTTTTCTTTTTTGTCTTGAGACATATATGTCTTTTGTTTTCATCATGACAATCAAAGTTGACAGTTGCAGTCATAAATTTGTGAAGGACTGACCCCCTGAGGCTGCTGCTTCGTAACAGATGTGCCCTGATGTTTCTTAGTCTGACTGACAGGCATCACAGCTGAACTATCATGTTGGTTTTTAATTAAAACCAGGAAAATCTATCTGGGAAGCTTTACATTAAGTCCCGTTTTACACCCAGAGGTAGTATAATTTATTGTTTTATTTTTGTTTTTATTTTTCCATTTACTTGATTGATGGAATAGTCTTAGGTAATCAGTGCAGTTTTAAATGGCTTTTGCTATTGAATATGATAAAAAAAATGTTTCTGCTGGAATTATGGGTGTGCGCTAGCATCATAAAACTACAGTATATTTTAGTTTACTTCATATTATGTTTGAGGCTTGGTGCTCTAGAGCACTTTAATTGTTAACTTTCCTTTACTTCATCAGTGGACTTAAGAGGTTTTAGAGTTGAATTTAAAGAAAAAAAAATGTAAATACTATAAAAAATCATTTGCTATTCAATTATCGTTTTGATTTTAAGAAGTGATTTGTTTTATCGGTAATGTGGTTTTTGAGTGTGTTTTAGGCTAAAGCAGTGCATGTTAATGAATTGTAAAATGCAAAAAAATATAAAATAACAGTTGATTGTATTAAGTTGTGTTTGTGTGATCTGTTCTACTCTTAGTTAGCTCCCTCTACAGATTTCCACCTCCTCCACCTTTTGATATTCTCTGGTGTTGGTGAGGCAGTCATCGAGCCTGATCAGCAGGTTTTTGTTCCCAGCAACAGTGAAATTCATCAGCTGTCATCACCCCAATTCAAACTGTCTGATGATCAGCTGTAAATCTAAAGTGAGATTTGTTCCACCAAGTGCATTTCACTACTTATCATCTCTAACGGTGTAAGCAAGCAGTTAGGAGGAAGTGTTTACATAAAGTGTGCAAATAGCAGATAACGGCTGAATGAAAAGGACAACACAGGTGAAGAGAGGTAAAAGTGAGCATAAAAGCAAGAACAAACAATAATATAGCATTCAAGAAAAACATTTGTGATCATAATATTGTTTTTATAAAGAAGAAAATGGCTTTAGTTGTATTAGAAATGTGTATTTTTGCCTGAAAATGCTTCTTACATGATCATATTTTCACACTATTAAAACATGACATGAACAGGTGAATAAACAAGGTAAACCATTCAATAAATATTTTAATAGGGTTGGGTTATTTTAGTTTTATTGTATTTTAGTGGCTGTTTTTACGCTACGGGTCCTGTTGGAGGGACAAAATTCATCAAGATTTCGGTTTCAACCAACTCAACAGTGGTAGGCGGGTGCCTTGCTGCCTTGGTGTGTTCCTCGTAATTATCATTTTTAAAATGCTGTGGCTCAAAAGAGGACTTCTTGAACTGTGATGTGCTGTAACCTGTAACAGTAGATGTTGTACCGGGTGAATTTTGGTTTAAAATTTCAGAGAAGCAAAGTTTTAAAATATGTATCAACCTTGGAAATAGTTATTTTATATTTTCTGGTTTCATCTCTTTGAAGCTTTATGACACTTTTTGATCGTTTTGCGTCATTGTTGTTCTGTGATAGTAAATGGGTTTTTGGACCGTTGGTCAGACATTTAAAACGTCGATTTGGACGCTGGGAACTAGTGACTTGGTGACATTCTTTAGACAAAACGATTAACTGATTAATCGACAAAACAAGCTGTAGAATGATCGATGATTAAAATAATCGTTCCTTGCGGTCCTATATTTAACATACGATGGCTAGCTTAAGTATGCGTACCAGAACGCAATGTGACAAGACCAAACGCTGCTCAACTAGTGGTTCCGTTCTTTCGACAGGTCGTGAACGCAGCATCAGTCCAGGGGCGGGTAGGCGCTAACTGTGCAGTATGGCGGACGATGGAGACAGTTCGAGCGGACCAGTTGACACAAGCGGCGGGCAGGGGGCAGCGGATGAGTCGGACGGGCTCGGCCTTGGCGGGATGTTGCTGAATATTAGTATTTTGGTTCTGGTGGTGGCGGTCTGTCTGGTGGTGTACCGGCGGTGGGGCAGGCGGCTCGGCGCCGACGCGGCCCAGGGCGACGAGGCCTCGGCTCTTCCCAAGATGAGGAGACGGGACTTCACTCTGGAGCAGCTGCGGGAGTACGACGGACTCCAGAACCCCCGCATCCTGATGGCTGTCAACATGAAAATTTTCGACGTGACCAGCGGCAAAAAGTTTTACGGGAAAGGTGAGCTGGCAGTCTGTAGAACAGGACCTGACAATCGAGTGACTTAGCTGACATGTCCTGCTTGGGGTGAGTTGTCCCGAGTCAAAAATTTGGGCGCAAACCGTTGAGGTTAGCTTAGCTGTATCTTTGGCTTTGTCTGTGCTTTTGAATGGGATGCTAGCTGTCAGCTAACTAGCACAGCTGTTATGAGGGGAAGGAGGGTCGCAACTGTTGTGATGATGTTTGAACATGTCTAGACTTGATATTTATGTGGACTGAACCTGTGAAACTTTTTGGTCAAGTTAAAGCTGGTTTGCAAGGTTTTAACCAGCTAGCCTGCTAACGCTAGCCTGTTAGCTTGTTGACGTGCACACAGACACACTGCACTGTCTGGCTGTCTGGTCTAGAAGCGCCGCTTGTTTACAGTGATGGGACTCACCATGCATGGGTATTGGTAACTGTGCACGGAGATTTTAACATTAAATGCCATATGTCTCTGTATATTTGTTATTCTAAAGGGTATTTTCTTGCAGAAAAGACGTGTTTTTAGCACCTGGGGTCACTGTGTATTCTGCTGTGCAGAGTTAAACAGACAACTGCAGCTCTGGGATGAGAATAACGTTTGTGAACAAATATGACAAACAAATATTATATTGCTTTACTTTTAGAAATTATGTCTGAAGCCTCATAAGTCTTCTTAATATGTCCTCTTGTCTTTGAAAAGCAAGGCTAGCCTGCTACTGCACATTTTCTGTGACCTGGCTGACTCACAAATCACCTCTGTAATAAACTATAATTATTCAAACACACTCCCAGGAGACTCGTGTGTCACGTCTGCTATCCCACACCGCCAGCACCCAGCCAAGTAGGCCTGAATCTGTCCAGCTCTCCAAATTATGACACATAGACTCAGAGCCACGCTGGAGTTGGCAGGATCATATCTTAAATTGTCTAGCTGGTGTTCATCACATCTGAGTTAGTGCTGGGACAGAAGACAGAGTCCTCTATGACTTGTTTGAAGAAAAATTTTAAATATTTTCTGTGTTCAGCTTTTGGCAAGCGAGGATTTGCTGCTTTCCTCTGTTTCATGTCATTATGAATGGAAAACCTTTGGGTTTTTCACAAGACAAGCAGCTGAAACGGGCATTTGTTGACAGTTATAGACCCCAGTATTAACCATTAATGAAAGTACTTGTTAGCTGCAGCCCTGTACTGCTGGTTATAGGGGAGTCCAGCTGGCTGGAGTTGCCATTTACAGCTGACACACTCAAGTTTTTCAGACATTATCCAGGCATAATTCTGGCTCTTCTTTTGTTGTGAGTGATTCAGGACATAAAAAAACAATATCATTCTAATAATAGGCCCTAAGACAAAAATATCAGTTTGTTGCCTTGTTCTCAGGCTTACCGTAAAATAGGATTAGCAGTTTTATCTATAAAATGCTCGTTCGTCTAGTTGTGCAAGGTAAAAGCACATCTAATCTTGGAGGTGATAAGGCGCCTTTGCTTCATGGACTCTTTAACAGTGCTTTGAACACTGGACTGAGTTTTATTTTTTTGCTCCGGCTTTCTGTTGCACAATTAAAAGCAGAAAACCTGAGGGCCTGCAGAGCGTTCACATGCTGGTCAGATGTTGTTCCTGTTGGAAGATGATGAACGATTTAAAGGACTTCATGGCATGCCCGGGGCGTTGTTAGACTGAATATCACCAGTGCCTTTGAAGGGATATTAAACGATATCATTCAGATAACTAGAAATTTCCTGAATATGAAAGATATTCAATATCCTCTACTTGAAAATTCGAAATCATGAAGATATTTAAAGTATTTTTACTGAATTGTTATTGGTAGAAGTTGCATGACAGGACAGAACAGCAACAAGTGCTGGGCAATACTGAACAAAAACAATATTTGTAGCTGAATATCTTTAATGTTGATCATGTGATGATACTTTAGCTAAAGCTTTAGACTTTGAGAAGAAATTTTACTCCTAAAAACAATGCAGACATATAGCGACACTGATAAATCTGCCTGTTTTGACATAGATTTTGTCATCATTCTTTTCCGCATCGGAGACAGAAATACCAATAAAGAATTATTTTCATTATAGATTCATTTTTGGTCTGTAAAACGCCTGAAAACAGAAAATGACTGAAAATTATTTCCATGAGCTCAAGATCATGTCTTGTTTTTGTTCAAAACCCAGAGAGAATCTGTTCACTATAATGTAAGACAATGAAAATCAGCATGTTTCTCACTATACAACAGCCTGCTCGATACATATCTTGATCATACTTCATGCATTTATCTATTTCATTGTTATCCATTTATTTATTTTTACATATTTATGGTGCATTTTAAGCCTTTGCTGTGGACAGACAGTGGAGAGATGAGAGGAAATGAGGCGATGAAGGAAGCAGAAAAGGTCTCCAGCCGGATGTTATGGCTCATGGTCCTCTGCGTCTTCACCCCTAAACTATGAGAGCGCCAGTGTTTTATGAGTTTATGTAGAAAAACAACATTGTAATGGCAGAAATATTGTTGTTGGATTATTTCTAACTCTCAAATATGGATATAAGCATCAAAAGTTCAGCATCACTCAACCTTTATTAAGAAACAATGAGTCGTAATGTGTTTTGATCATCAAAGTGGTTGGCAGTTTAATTCTGTGATGACAGGCTAATAGATCAATCGACTAATCATTGCAGCTCTAATTTAACTCTAATGGAGTCTTTAATACCAGCCAGAGGCAGTGTTACGATTACAGGAATCCCAGACCACATCACATTTCACATTATATCATGTTAATATATCTTCCATCTCTGATAACAACAGCGTACTGATGCAGGGTTCTGCTAAGTCACTGTCAACACAACGATCCCTCTTCAGAAAAAGAAGAGCATGTCTGATATTTCCTGGAGCCAGGAGTCGCTGCATCTGTGAACTCACTGCATCTGCACTGTATTCAAGTGGTTTACTCATTGGCAGCTCTGGGAGGCTTTTAATGTGAAGCAGGAGCAGCAGTCACATGACGTAGATTTGACTTAATAGGTTAAGGGTTAACTTGTTGCTTGGCTGGAAAAGGTATTTGTACAGTTTTAACACTTTTTTCTCGGTCGATCAGTTTAAAAGCTTAAAAGAAGCGACACTGAGCCCAAACCAGGGCAGGAAGCTGACCTGTGTATCCGCTGGCGCCTGACCGGTTTATCCCAGAACTCACAGCATGTTTAGAATAGTGAAGAGTCTCAGTCAGAATGATTGTTAAACTGTGGAAGTGAATAGTAAAGTAAGAAACTTCTCTGCTATACATTCATTCATCCTGACTTTGTGTTTGTTTCTCAGATGGTCCTTACGGCATTTTCGCGGGCCGGGATGCTTCAAGAGGCCTGGCCACCTTCTGCCTGGAGAAAGACGCCCTGCGGGACGAGTACGACGATTTGTCAGACCTCAACGCTGTACAGATGGAGAGCGTGAGGGAGTGGGAGATGCAGTTCATGGGTAAGATGGTTTTCTGATGCTTGTAAAGAAAATGTTCCTGAGATATTGATTTGTCTCGGATGACACAGATGCATCAGTCGTGTTTATGGTCCGTCCCACAGAGCCTCTCTCTGCATCTCTGCATATTTAGTCAGGTCAGACTGAGAATCAGAAACACAAAAACAAGATCAAACCGACTGCGTTTTTCTTTAGTGTTTTTGCTTGTAAACCTCTCCAAGGGCATCCACTGCTTCAGTATGTTGTATTACATTTGGAACATGATTTTTATGATTAAATTAGGTTCATTTAAAGGAGTACAAAAGAAGCGTTTGTGCTTTGGCACAACTATCCTTCAGTTTGCATTGCATCTGAATGTATTTTTAGTTTTACTTCATATTCAGAATCAAATCTTCTTGTAGATGAAATAAAACACTATTCTGGTGACCTGTAGGCCTGCAACTACCAGCCATTTTCATTGATTGATATCGATTAATCTGACAATTATTTTTTCAATCAATCAACTTTTGTTTGGCCTGTATAACGTCAGAACAGTTAAACAGTTAAAAATGTCCGTCACGTCTAGTGCGTGATTAGTGTTTTATAGTGTCCAAGCCACAGACCAAAACCAAAAGATATTCAAAGTAATATAATGTTAAGACAAAGAAAAGCAACAAATTTCCACATTTGAAAAGGTCAACAAGAGAATGTTTGATTTTTTTTACTGTAATGCATTTTACTTGTTTGTTTCTTTATTTGCACAGCACAAAGCAGGAAGATAAAAAAGTTTTCCTAAAGCCAAAAGTGGCATCCCTCAAATAACTTGTTTTGTTCTAACAAGAGCTGAAATGATTAGTCAATTAATCGATTAGTTGATCAACAGAAAAGTGATTGCCACCTGTTTTTATAACTGATGACTCATTTCAGTTATTTGTCAGGCACAAATATACCAAATGTTTTCTATTTCCTGCTTCTTAATTGTGTGGATTTCTTTACTTTATGTGATAGTAAACAAAGATTTCACTTTGGGCTTAAAGAAGTAGTGACTGAAATGTTTCTTTTTTTTTTCTGGTATTTTATAGATTAAAGGATTGGTTGAGGAAAGCGTCAGAAGATTAAGCAAATAATTGGTCGTTACTATCAGATCTTAAGAAAAGCAGAAAATATTCACATTTGAACCATGAAAACGGTGCATATCCATCCATCATCAAAATAGTTCTGTTAATCGACTGATAATTTCTGCTCCATAAAAAGGTTCTTACTTGAATGTGCTGGTGAACCAAACTATGGAGTGCATTTGTGACAAACATGCAATAAACCCAAACTAAAAATATCTCCTGCCACCACATCTGCTGAGGAACAGTTACAACAGGAAACAATGAAACTGGACGGAAACAAAGGCCCTCGCTTCACCCCTTGTATTTTGTTTTGCCACATCACTCATGTCACAATCCAAGGATTTTCTGTACCCGTGTTAAACGTAACATGGGTTTAAGTTCTAATGTAGTCTGTAATTTTAAAATGTGCTTTACCTCAAATGCAGTGTTTGATTTCAAAGTCAAGTGTCTTTTTTTTTTTTTTAGTCTCGAGTGTCTAATTTTGGACTGAAACATCTAAGTAATGTCAGGCCTCTGCTTTTTAAATAAGAGTCTACAGGACACAACATGTACAGTTGATGCAAATGTCAATGTAAAGCTGGACAGGGCAGCTTTGAAAGTTGGCAGCTCCAAATGGTGACTGATGAAATTATATAAGAAGACGTCAGTAAATTACTGGCAGCATCTTGTTCATCACTCTGGTCACTGCTCTGAGAGTCCAGCGTTTTCTCTGATGTTCAGTGGAAAACACATTGATCTCAGTTAGTGAACAGCTGTTTGTCAATCAACAGAAAATTAATCAGCAGATTTTTATTAATTAATTAATTAATTAATTAACTTTATTTTACTTACCTTTTTGTTTGGCCACGTTCTGCAATACTTTCTGTTGCGTACATGCTTCTAAATACATTTTACAATTCGCACACGTCTATTTTTAGTCGCAGGAAAAGGCTTGCACTGTCAAGCCCTGGATTGTTTTTGCAACAAAACAATAAATCATTTTGGCTATAAAATGTCAGAAAATAGTGAAAAATGTGCATCAGTTTCCCAAAGCTGATGTTTTAAATAGCTTGTATTATATCTGACCTGCAGCCCCAAACCCAAAGACATTCCCTTTACCATCATATTGGTTAAGCTAAACAGATTAGTTGATTAATTGAAAAGTCGGTTGATAGAAGATTATACAACAACAATTTTGTCGAGTTTAATCGAGTAACCGTTTTTCATTTTTCCAATCAAAAATGACAGAAAAAACACTGTTATTTGCTGCTTTTATTTTTTTGTTTATTCATTATATGTTGAATTGTAAATATTTTATTGACCAAAATATTTTTTTCAAGAAAATAATTGGCTAATTAACTGATAATGAAAATAATGGTTAGTTACGGTCCTCAGTGCAGGAGAAGACACGGCAAAGCAGCAAATGAAGCTAAAATCAATTCAACTGACATTTTGGCTTGAAAATAACTTGAATGAATCGATCGTTCAAATAATTTGAATATTTAAGGTTTTAGACTGTTTTTAGATTTAGAGTTTTAGACTTTGACCACTGAGCAACTATGAATGTCATATTTTTACATTAATAGCTGCCTGAAATAAATTTTCGGTCATTGACAAAATGATTTAAGGACTGATTGTTTCATCTCTAAAATAATTGTCGATGCAGCTCTGTAAGGTTGTTGCTCCTGCTGAAGCTGGTCTTTGTGCTCGCATCTTTTTAATGCAACATTTTGCCGATGTCTTCCAGAAAAATACGATTACGTCGGGAGGTTGCTGAAGCCCGGAGACGAACCATCGGAGTACACGGACGAGGAGGACATCAAGGACCACCTGAAACACGACTGAGCGGTTCCATCACACCGACCAAAGCCAGGAGCCCCAAACAGCTGCGACAGACCGCCCCAGACCCCCCAGACCACCTCCTCCTCCTGCCCCATCGATCTACCTGCCACTCTCTTTGCCTGCCCCACTCCCCAAAAACTCTTCACCTCCTGAGTCTGTACGGTGCCGTGGCTGTTCTGGAAGGACGGGACTCAAGTCTCAACGCCCAGACCTCCCTCCCTCTTCATCCTACAATGATGACCACCAACAGAAAGCAATTGGAAACCTTCGACGAGGGGCTTTTTTAATGACAGCAAACACGTCTGGGGGGAGAGCGGTTGTGCCATTAGATGTATTTGAAACAAAATCACAAAATATGTAGGGGGAAGGGAAGGGGATACGTGTGGTCATTGTGGTCGCCGCTGAGCGCTGGGTGGAGGTTGGTCGGAGTTAGTCAGAAACGCACTGGTCAAAGATGATCAGTGGATCGGGATGGGGAAACAGATTTCTCTCTTTTTATCTGTGGTTTAGTCACATTGCAACTGAAACTGCTTCAGCTTTGGACAGCTTATCTATCAATCAATCATTTCTGTTTCTTTTTTTTTTTTTTCTTTTTGGTTCAATCATCCCCCCTTGTTGAGAGGGCAGTGCTGTGGCCTAACCAAAGGTAATTGGCAGGGCGTTGCATTTTCCTGTTGTGTTTGTAGTGTATGCACTACTAGTTTTCTTTGTTTGTCACCATGTGATTGTATTTGTTGAGTAGCATAGAGAGAGAGAGAGAGAGAGAGGCTGAGACGGAAGGCTTTTTTTTCTTTTCTTTTTTCTTTTTCTTTTCTTTTATTATTTTTTTTCTTTGTTTTTTTGGATGGGTTTGGGGGGGGGTCAAAGGTCCTTGCCATATGAAACCTGTTTTGAATCACATCAGATGGACTGAATCACTGATCGGGAATACAAAGGGAAGGTGATAAGGCAGTCCTAATCAATCGACTCAATTGTTTACATGCCTCACAAGCCAGCTGCAAGTCTGTAGATTCCCCTGAAAATGGTCCAAGTATTAATTGTGCCTTATTTTGTTTGTTGTGTCAGTCCTGACAGGTCTAACAGAGGAGGTGAGCGAAGGGATGGAGGTGTTGGTTTTTCCTAGACTCAGTGCCCCAGACTTTAAAGAAGGCATATGTTCTGGCAGTCGTCCACACACAGACTGTAATATTTCCCCACTTCACAAACTTTGTAAATAGACCGTATGAATTACTCAGTGTTACTGCCATATTTATGTAGATGATGAACTCCATATACGTATAATGCTATGTCGTATTGGCCAAAACCCCCATGGTTTGTGTGGTTTTTTTTTTTGTTTCTGTTTTGTTTTGTTTTGTTTTGTTTTTCTTTTTGTTTTGTTTTTTTGTTTTTCCTTTCAGTTCTGAACTTATTTTTAAATGTGTGAATTTCCAAAAAAAAAAAAAAAAAAAAGGAGTGTTGCAAAGTGCTGCAGGGCGGGACCGGGAGCTGTTCTTGCGAATTTTTTTCGGAGACGTTGCTTATCCTGTAAATATATCTATCATTTTATTAAAGCATGTGCAACAACCAAGTGAGCTATGCCGAATTCCCACCACGTCATGTATTTAAATGTTGGGTGTGTGTGTGTGCGTGTCTGCGTGACAGAGGCAGGAAGGGATTTGTTCATGCATAATAAATCGATTTGGTTAATAATTGAAGATGTCTGGAGTTTATTTGCTGTTAGAGAAAAAATGATTAGATCGCTACCAGGAAAATGTTATATAGTTCATTCAAACTGAGAATCTGGATCTGAATCAGATCACTAAAGGAGAGAAGAAATTTTCAGATTGAGGCTGTTAATGGCAAATAGTTAAATATTGATTACTTTTAATTATATCAATTATGGGCCAAAAGTAACACAAATATGCACATAAGATGCCTTAGACCACGCCCCTTCTCATTAAACATAAATGTAAAGTAATTTAATGTGGAAATATATGAATGGGGAAATGAATAAATGTGCATAGTGGATACATATATATATACACACACACATATATCTGGGAATTAGATAAATAGGGAAATTGTCCCCCTTTTTCTCTTGAGTTTCTTTTTGCCTTATTACCATACAGCACTGAAATAAATAAATCAATAGGAAAATAAATATGAAAATTAATAAGTTTTTTTGGGAAATTCACAGATTTTCAAGAAATATGCAGGGACGTATAAATACAATACAATTGATACAGACATGGATAAGAAAAAAAACAAATTACATTTACATTTACTCAATAAATTAGGAAATAATTACATCTGCAAGTGAATAAGAAAATATATAAAAGCAGAAAATTGTAGATTATTTATACATTCATCACCCATTTATTTATTTTCTGACAAATATAAATGTATCTTTATTATTAATTTGTTGTCCATTTTAAAAACGACATATTAACATTAATCCTGGGTTATTTTGAGGAACATGTATCTTTTTTTAAAATGATTTTTTATTCATCTTTTTTATTAGCCACGGCATCATTCACAGACACGAGAGCTACATTTACGTTCATCCATGTGCAGACCAGGGTGCAGACATGATGAAGTTCTGAGGGTCACCGCTGTGGTCACCACGGTCTAAAAATAAACCTTCCTGACATTGACAACAGCTCAACAGCGCCCCCGTTGACGCTCTGGTTGATCCTGGAACTGCACGCTGACGGCTCTCTCAGTGTCCGCGTGAGTGTGTGTTGAAGTCAAACTCGTCTCTGTTGTTGCTTATCGACCTTCAAAGCCAAAGCGGCTTCGTCTGGCATCACCTCCCGGAGCAGGGGTGTGTGTTGTCCGTTGATGATCCGACGACCATTTCACACGGACAGCGGCTCCTCAACACACCACCGACATCTTGGCTGCTGTTTTCGGCTAAAACCAAAACTCACCGAATTTTTTTCACCCGCCCCCCCCCACCTCCCGCCCACCCCCCACCCCCCCCAAAAAAATCATCCGTCTCTCCCCGGCTTCGACCACCATCTTGGCTGCTTTCCAGGCGACAGCATCGGGTGAGTGATGATACAGAAGACATACGAGGTTTGTCCAAATTCAACGAAACAATAAAGTTGTGTGAATTCCTCCAGGAAGGACGGCTCTGTTTTGGTTTGTGTCTCACACCAGGAGTGCAGCAATGGCAGAGCATCTGTCCCAGAGTGAGCTGGACTACCCATTCAAACTTCTGGAGTATTTCAACGGCTTCAGGGTCTCCAAGGTAACATTTAAGAGCTTTTTCTTGTTTTCTTCTAAATATACACATTGTAGTTAAGAGTCAGTCAGTCTGCAGTAATGCATCTGGGGCTGCTACTTGCCACATTTTGGCACCACTTTTTGATAAAGCACAATTTAAACAGAGGTTACAAGCTGTAATTAAAAGATGTATTAATCTTTAGCGAATTGTGTTGTGAAAAATCTAATGTATCTACACTCAGCTGTCAGATTATTAGGTACACCTACTTAAAACTAATGCAGTCTAATACAGCAGTCCTGCTTCATGTGGCCACTATGCAGGGATGAAATTTCTGATGCTGTTGAATTGCATTGCAGGTGTTTCTATTATTTTGTCCACCCCATTGGTATCAATGAGGGAATGGGATTTTTTTTTCTCTCAATTAATCATTAATTGATTGACCTTTCAGCAATCAGTGTCTCTTTATCTATAGAGCATCCTTCAGTTCTACATTAGAGGGTACAGACTTGCCAGCAGCTTTGTGATGCAGCATTTAAGTACAGTGTCGCTAGACTTCTTAATAGGTCAAACAGATGGTTTCTCATTACACCCGTACTCACTTCCCTGACTCCCTGTTACGTACAGAATCCATCCTCACTTTTACATACAGATTACTGCACCGTCAGCCCCCATTGTATATTTAACTGATCTACTCCACCTTCACTCATCAGCTCGCTGTCTCAGGTCAAGTCAAATCTACTATCTGTCCCGCTGCATTTAAAGAATTGTGGTGATGAAGCTTTAGACGCCGCAGCACCTAAGCTGTGTTATGCTCTACCAGCACCTCTATGGTTTGGTGATTTCTGTGGAGTCATTTAAAAAGCAGCTACAGACTTATCTGTTTAAACTTTCAGGTAATCTGTGCACGCCAGGTCTGCTTTTACACACTGCTCACATGGCTGAAGATCCTATCTACCAGAGCTGAGGTGCTGATGTGACAATACTGTATGTCTGTCCCTCAAGGTGATATTTTCAGCCTGTGAGCTGGGAGTGTTTGACCTCCTGCTCAAGTCCCAGGAGCCTCTGAGTGCGCAGCATGTGGCCCGGGAGCTGGGCACCAGTGTGGACGGGATGGAGAGGCTGCTGGACGCCCTGGTGGGCATCGAGATCCTGGAGGTGGAGACCACAGATGGGACAGGTGAGGGATGAGGAGTGGATGATCTCTTGCAGACAGGTCTGAACTACTACATTAACTGTGTATCAATGTAGCAATACAAACTACATGGCCAAATGTATGTGGACATCTGTGCAAAGTATGTGGACATCCAAATATTACATCAATTTTTTATCTTAAATTTAGTTTAATTTCATTCTTGACTTTGGAAACAGCATTCAACAAAATAATCTCACCTCAGTATGCATTTAGTAGCTGTTCTGGAGCTTTCAGTTTGATGTTAGGTCTTTCCCTGTGAATGTCTTTTGTTGAAACAGCTTTCTACAGCAGCACTGACGTGGCGAACCTTTACCTGGCCAAAGGCAGCGCCAAGTCTCTTCACGACATGATCATCTACCAATCCCAGACCATCTACCCTCTGTGGAATAACATGGTGGACGCCGTCAGGTTTGTGGGTTCAAATGGAAAACAGCTGAATAGAGAGTGGATGTTTTGCATTTTACAAAGCTTAGTTAAACCTCAGTGACAGAAGAGGAAGTAAGGTTTTTATGGCTAATTGATTTTTAGACTGAAGCTGTGAAAAAGAGGAAAATGCATTAAAGTTATCTAAGATAGTTAATAGCCTGTAGAGCTGCTCTGCCTCAAGGAAATGTTTGCAGAACTAAAGCAAACTCCACAGAATATGTGAATGCTCATTTTCATGAGTTCAAACAGTAATTTTCCGCCTCGCAGGGAGGGGAGGAATCAGAATGAAAAGACCTTTGGCCTTCCACCAGAGGATGTTTTCCAAGCTATTTACAGGTTGGTGCTGAGTTTGTTATTATCTAATTTCATTAGTAGTTGAGTTTTGAGTTTCTGTGTTTGATAGATAAAAATCTACCACACAGATCGGAGGAGGAGATGCTGAAATTCATGGGTCTCATGAACTCCTCGTGGGTTCTTGACGGACACGACATCGTGACAGCGTTCAACCTCTCATGCTTCCAGACGATTGTAGATCTTGGAGGTAAGAGGCTGCTGGCACTAAGTGCATAATAGCAGCATAATAGATATAGATACAAGATACAAATTTGTGATAAACAATTAGATTTACTCCATTAAATACTGAAACTCCCTGTAAGTGAAAACATGTTATTTATGTATATATGATTTATTAACAGATGTAAACTATATAATGACGTGTGTTTGATCATGAAGATCATAAAGAAATAACAAACGTTAACATTTTTCACAGACACAAAAACTGAGAAAATCAAAAACATTTTGATTTCACACTAAACAAAGTGAATATCCGTTGTTCATGCTCTGACATTATTCTGTCTGAATACTTCCCAGGTTGCACTGGTGCTCTGGCTCGTGAGATGGTGAAGGCGTATCCCTCCTCCTCCGTCACAGTGTTTGACCTCCCGCAGGTCGTGGAATCGGCTCAGAAACATTTCTCTCAGGAGAACGATGCCATTGTGTTTCAGACTGGTGAGCTCCATTCGCTCTCGCTCACCACATCAAGAGTTGACTGCAATACTGTCGACTGTTGCCACCGGTCAATAATGAACTTTGAATCTCTGTTTCACTGTAGGACAAACTTAATGAGTGTAGGACTGTAGGTGTACCTAATAAACTGGTACCTGATTATACGTTTTCACATGCTTTCTGTCATCGTATGTAGGAGATTTCTTCAGTGGTGACGTCCCTGCTGCTGACTTGTACGTTCTGGCCAGAATCATTCATGACTGGCCTGAAGAGAAGTGCCTGACTCTGCTGAAGAAGATCTACAACACCTGCAGACCAGGTGAGTTTATGTAAATTACTCCACAGGGCATCTTTAGGAGCTTTGTGTGTTTTTGTGTTTGTATTTAACTGTTAAATCTGTGGTCCCATTTTTTTTTACCTGCCATACATTAAAATTGTATCCTGGTATATTTTTATCCACGTTGAATTTACACTCAGTCGTTACCTGCATCTCTTGTTAGCAGGATTTAATCTGTTATCTGTTACATGCATTAAAAGCATATTCTGCAGGTATATGTCAATATATTTTGTACCTGCAGAATAGAGGAGACTATGGAGGATTATGGGCTTCAGGTTTTGTTTTTCAAATTTTTACTGGTCGAAGGGAATGTAACATAAAAATATGCACAGCTGATGCTTTTGAATTATTGTGTTCTGTGCTTTTTAATACTCATTGTCCTCCTGGGCCTCCAGGTGGTGGCGTCCTGCTGGTGGAGGCCATGCTGTTTGAGAACAGACGAGGGCCCGTCATGGCTCAGATCTTCTCCCTCAACATGCTGGTGCAGGCGGAGGGCCGGGAGCGTCCGCCATCTGAGTACACCCACATGCTGAAGAAGACCGGCTTCCAAAACGTTCAGGTGTGTCGGACTGGAAAGTCCTACGATGCCATCCTGGCCATCAGATGAGCTCAGACTCAGAGTGTCAGTCAAGTGAAACATTCCTTAAAAGTCTGGGAAAGTAAAGAACACTTACCTTGAACATTTCAAGGCTTTGAAAAGTTGAGGATAAGAAAACGAAACTAAAAGCCCCGGAACTGTTGTGCACATGGATCCCTGTTATATGTTGTGGTCAACCCTCGTGACTTGTTTTCATGGTTTGTACTAATACAAACATTTTCTGGACTGAGGTAGCTGATGGATAATATTTGTAATCAATACCTGCCTCTGTAAGTAATACTGCAAACATATTAAAGAATCAGAGCAAAGTGCTGATTTAGATTCAATCAAAATCAACTGATACTAAAGTAAATGTTTGACATTTTGGCAACTGCGCTTATTCGTTGTCTTTCTGAGTGTGAGAAGATTGATACCACTCTCATATTTATACGGTTAATATGTCACTATTACCAGCAGCCGGTTAGCTTAGCATAGCATAAGCTAGACTGCCTCTTTAAAACGGTAACAAATCCTTATACCAGCACTTGCAAATCTCACTAATTAACATTGTTTGTTTACAATAAAGTGTAAAACCATTAAGTTGTGGTTTTATTGGGGTCTGTTTTCCTACTTTCGTGTATTTATGCTAAGCTAACTGGCCGCAGGCCTAATATTGAACAGTCAACTATGGGAGTGGTATAAATCTTCTCATGTAAATCTCAGTAAGAAAGGGAATGTTTATTTCACAAAATGTCAAACTATCCCTTTAAAGGTTTCCCATAGACAGTCAATATGCTGTAGGTTCAGTTATTTGATATTTTTTGATAAATGCACTGATCTGGTTTTGTGAAGCTGATATTAATTTCTTTTTTAAAGAACCATGTTGCAAATGCAGGTGATGCTTTTCAGGCTGGCCTGATGTTTTTAACAACAGTTGTGAAGCAAAAGATACATGTTTTTATTTGTACTGTTTTTAAGTGACATGCTCGTAGAAAAGGGTCACAAAAATATATCACATATGCCTGAATCAAACAGTGAATAGTCCTTGGTATCGTATGAGATTATAGTTCTGATATTTCTCAAGTGTCATGGAGGTGCATTCTAAAAAATATTAACCAATTAATGACAGATTTGGGATAGCATTTCAAGCATATTTGATCAATATCATATAAACATAGTCTTGGAAAAAAGACTATTTTCTATCTTTTTTATGAGAAAGGTTATATTTATAATCCTCAATCATTTGATTTTCACTTGTTTTATAATATTCAAAATAAATGCCAAGAAGCCCGTAAATACATAATTAAACTTCAACATTTCCATCTAATCTACAGAGTGATATGACTCTGTTGTCCAAATCATCAGTAGGACTGTGACTGTCCTGAGATACTGAGATAAACAGTGTTGTCACTTTGCAAACCATTATGTCTGTGCATTTTTCTTTTTGGATAACTGAATATTATTATTATTATTTTTAAATCTTTTTAAAGATAATAACATCAAAAGAAACACCAGCATCATGTCATCCATATCATAAGCATTATAACACTGGTTCATAGTTCTGCATAATGTGTGTATAATTATCCATGAATGACAAATGAATACAAGAAGGGTAAAAAAGTACAAATCATTTCTGTCTGTTGGTCCATCTCATGGATCTGTAGGTGGATATTAATGATCTTTGCGTGTCTGTTTTTGGATTTCACAGCCAGAGAAGCGAATTCAATTTGTATGTGTTGATTTATTTTTCATTCCGTTGTCATGTCAGAAAGTGAAGAGAGGAGGCAAAGACTGGTTAAAAAAAAAAGAAAAAAAAAGAAAAGTGAAGATGTTTTCTGTGTTGTGGTGTTGTGTGCCTCTCTCAGCAGACCCTTCACGTTTACCTCTGTCTATCCTTTGCTTGTGTAAGAAATTCTATTTTCTTTATTTTTTCTCTCCCTGTCACAGTGTGAGGGCTGTTTGAAGGAAAAATCTATTTACTACTATTTAAAACTGGATCTTGTCTGTGTTTATTATGCTGTTTGTGTATTTCCTTTTTTTCCCCCGTGGTGATGTTGCAGTACTCGGAACAGCAGCAAGTGTGATTGGACAAAATGTTTCAGTGTAAAAAAAAAAAAAAAATGAAGAGTTTACACCATAAATCAGTTTAGATCATCTCAGCACCAAATAGCTGCTAAAGTGATTACAGCAGTGAGAGTTTCTCTTTTTAAATTGAGATTATAGATTTTTGTGATTTGCATGTGTTATGAGGTGTGAATGCAAAACATCAAGGTGTGCAATAGAAACACATGGCTTGTTTTTTTGTCTTCTTGTGTTTCCACTAAACATGTTGACAGCATGCATCCTTCAGATGGAATAACAGAGACACATGATGTTTATTCACTGTAAATGGTTCAGTTTTTTGTTCCTATTAAAAGCTATGCATGTGTAAACAACAACAGTGTGGTGTCTGTCAATGCAGCAGTCTCTTGTTATTGTTTTCATTATTATGTAAACTTGTACTTGTAAACATGTACTTAGTAGCCTTTTTTCAGTCAGCCAGTTGTCATTTTATTTCATTTGTGAATATATAAAAAGCATTTACTCTAACCCATTCACACTGAACCACTCCAGCCGCAACCATTTTGTATTCATGCTGTACAGCTAAACATTGTTCAGACCCACTGAACTTAATTTTAGTGGAAATCAAGGGCCTAGGTTTGCATATATACAGTAGAGACATGTCCCTACCAATATTTTGAGAGGACAGAATTGTCCCTACCAATATTTGAGGGAGATGGTTGCACTATGTTTGGAGTAAAGTCATATTAGATCATTCCAATGTGCCCTCCAAGAGGCTACGTCACAAAGACAATCGATTAAGGCATGCTAGGATTTGCTTGACTAAAAGGGAAAGGGACTATCTGAAGGCTCACGTAATGTGAGAATATCACAGTGGTACCTAACATCACCATGAGAATGTCAACTGATGTTATTTAGCCATGTTAGCAAGCGTTAACTACCAAGCAAACCGTAGTTTATGTCTTCTGTAGGCTAGCAGTCAGGTTGCTAACAGAAGTAAACATAAAAAGGTGGATATATCAAGTACGAGTTAAATTTCAGTAGACAAGTCACAGTTGACTTTTTATGCCTTACTATACTATGACTTTTTATGCCTTAGTATACTATGACATTTTTATGCCTTAGTATACTTTGACGTTTTATGCCACACTATACTATGGCATTTTTTTTGGTATTTTTATACCATACTATACTTAGATGTTTTTTGGCATTTTTATGCCTTACTATACTATGACGTCTCATGCCTTGCAATACTATGACATTTTTATGACCTTTTATGCCTTAATATACTATGATGTTTTTTGGCATTTTTATGCCTTACTATACTTAGATGTTTTTTGGTATTTTTATGCCTTACTATACTATGACGTCTCATGCCGTGCAATACTACAATGTTTTTATGACCTTTTATGCCTTAATATACTATGATGTTTTGTTGACCTTTAGATTTAGATGTTACCTTACTATACTATCTTATTTGATGCTTAACCATACTATGATGTTTTTTTGACATTTTATGCCTTTACATACTATGATGTTTTTTTGACTTTTTATGCCTTACTATACTATGACGTTTTTTGACATTTTTCTGCCATACTATACTATCTTATTTGATGCCCTGACATACTATGACGTTTTTCTGACCTTTTATGCCTTACAATACTATGACTTTTTATTCCTTACTATACTATGATGTTTTTATGCCTTACAATACTATGCCTTTTTTTATGACGTTTTATGCCATACTATACTATGACGTCTCATGCCTTGCAATACTATGACATTTTTATGACCTTTTATGCCTTTACATACTATGACGTTTTTTGGCATTTTTATGCCATACTATACTTAGATGTTTTTTGGCATTTTTATGCCTTACTATACTATGACGTCTCATGCCTTGCAATACTATGACATTTTTATGACCTTTTATGCTTTAATATACTATGATGTTTTTTTGACCTTTTATGTCATCTATGTCACCTATGTCACCTATGACATTTTTAGGCATTTTTATGCCATACTATACTTAGATGTTTTTTGGCATTTTTATGCCTTACTATACTATGACGTCTCATGCCTTGCAATACTATGACATTTTCATGACCTTTTATGCTTTTATATAGTATGATGTTTTTTTGACTTTTTATGCCTTACTATACTATGACGTCTCATGCCTTGCAATACTATGACATTTTCATGACCTTTTATGCTTTTATATAGTATGATGTTTTTTTGACTTTTTATGCCTTACTATACTATGACGTCTCATGCCTTGCAATACTATGACATTTTCATGACCTTTTATGCTTTTATATAGTATGATGTTTTTTTGACTTTTTATGCCTTACTATACTATGACGTCTCATGCCTTGCAATACTATGACATTTTCATGACCTTTTATGCTTTTATATAGTATGATGTTTTTTTGACTTTTTATGCCTTACTATACTATGACGTCTCATGCCTTGCAATACTATGACATTTTCATGACCTTTTATGCTTTTATATAGTATGATGTTTTTTTGACTTTTTATGCCTTACTATACTATGACGTCTCATGCCTTGCAATACTATGACATTTTCATGACCTTTTATGCTTTTATATAGTATGATGTTTTTTTGACTTTTTATGCCTTACTATACTATGACGTCTCATGCCTTGCAATACTATGACATTTTCATGACCTTTTATGCTTTTATATAGTATGATGTTTTTTTGACTTTTTATGCCTTACTATACTATGACGTCTCATGCCTTGCAATACTATGACATTTTCATGACCTTTTATGCTTTTATATAGTATGATGTTTTTTTGACTTTTTATGCCTTACTATACTATGACGTCTCATGCCTTGCAATACTATGACATTTTCATGACCTTTTATGCTTTTATATAGTATGATGTTTTTTTGACTTTTTATGCCTTACTATACTATGACGTCTCATGCCTTGCAATACTATGACATTTTCATGACCTTTTATGCTTTTATATAGTATGATGTTTTTTTGACTTTTTATGCCTTACTATACTATGACGTCTCATGCCTTGCAATACTATGACATTTTCATGACCTTTTATGCTTTTATATAGTATGATGTTTTTTTGACTTTTTATGCCTTACTATACTATGACGTCTCATGCCTTGCAATACTATGACATTTTCATGACCTTTTATGCTTTTATATAGTATGATGTTTTTTTGACTTTTTATGCCTTACTATACTATGACGTCTCATGCCTTGCAATACTATGACATTTTCATGACCTTTTATGCTTTTATATAGTATGATGTTTTTTTGACTTTTTATGCCTTACTATACTATGACGTCTCATGCCTTGCAATACTATGACATTTTCATGACCTTTTATGCTTTTATATAGTATGATGTTTTTTTGACTTTTTATGCCTTACTATACTATGACGTCTCATGCCTTGCAATACTATGACATTTTCATGACCTTTTATGCTTTTATATAGTATGATGTTTTTTTGACTTTTTATGCCTTACTATACTATGACGTCTCATGCCTTGCAATACTATGACATTTTCATGACCTTTTATGCTTTTATATAGTATGATGTTTTTTTGACTTTTTATGCCTTACTATACTATGACGTCTCATGCCTTGCAATACTATGACATTTTCATGACCTTTTATGCTTTTATATAGTATGATGTTTTTTTGACTTTTTATGCCTTACTATACTATGACGTCTCATGCCTTGCAATACTATGACATTTTCATGACCTTTTATGCTTTTATATAGTATGATGTTTTTTTGACTTTTTATGCCTTACTATACTATGACGTCTCATGCCTTGCAATACTATGACATTTTCATGACCTTTTATGCTTTTATATAGTATGATGTTTTTTTGACTTTTTATGCCTTACTATACTATGACGTCTCATGCCTTGCAATACTATGACATTTTCATGACCTTTTATGCTTTTATATAGTATGATGTTTTTTTGACTTTTTATGCCTTACTATACTATGACGTCTCATGCCTTGCAATACTATGACATTTTCATGACCTTTTATGCTTTTATATAGTATGATGTTTTTTTGACTTTTTATGCCTTACTATACTATGACGTCTCATGCCTTGCAATACTATGACATTTTCATGACCTTTTATGCTTTTATATAGTATGATGTTTTTTTGACTTTTTATGCCTTACTATACTATGACGTCTCATGCCTTGCAATACTATGACATTTTCATGACCTTTTATGCTTTTATATAGTATGATGTTTTTTTGACTTTTTATGCCTTACTATACTATGACGTCTCATGCCTTGCAATACTATGACATTTTCATGACCTTTTATGCTTTTATATAGTATGATGTTTTTTTGACTTTTTATGCCTTACTATACTATGACGTCTCATGCCTTGCAATACTATGACATTTTCATGACCTTTTATGCTTTTATATAGTATGATGTTTTTTTGACTTTTTATGCCTTACTATACTATGACGTCTCATGCCTTGCAATACTATGACATTTTTATGACCTTTTATGCTTTTATATAGTATGATGTTTTTTTGACCTTTTATGTCATACTATACTATGACATTTTTAGGCATTTTTATGCCATACTATACTTAGATGTTTTTTGGCATTTTTATGCCTTACTATACTATCTTGTTTGATGCCTAACCATTTTTATGCCTTACTATACTATCTTGTTTGATGCCTAACCATACTAGGATGTTTTTATGACCTTTTATGCCTTTACATACTATGATGTTTTTTTTACCTTTTATGTCACACTATACTATGCCTTTTTTATGACTTATTATGCCTTACTATACTATGATTTTTCAGGACTTTTTATGCCTTATTTATAGTATGACATTCTTATGACTGTTCATGCCTTAATATACTCTGACGTTTTTCTTACCTTTCATGCTTCAATATACTATGATGTTTTTATGACGTTATATGCCTTACTGTACCATGACAGTTTCATGCCTTGTTATACTATGACTTTTTATGCGTGACTGTCACAGCCCCTCTGTGACTGCAGCAGTTTTCCAATGTTCCACTTTGTGTATGCGTCGAAGCAGGGGCGTAGTCCAGCACTGGGTACCTCGCTCACCTGTTCCTCAACCTCCACGCTCCTTCTGCAACAAACCGGGTCCTTCGTCCCCCAACATTCCCCCAAAACACTGTCCCTCACTCATTGAACAGTTGCCATTAAAGAACTGTTACCACACTGGTTGCTTCTGTGTCTGAATCGTTTTTACGCCTTACTATACTATGACCTTTTTATGCCATACTATACTATGATTTTTAATGACTTTTTATGCTTACAATACTATGACTTTT